GTCGAGATTCATCCCATGCTGCTAGTCTTGTTCCGCGGCCCGGGAAGTCTTACTTTACGGTCCTTCTTTTGTATGAACTGAGCAACCTGTCTATGATTAGCCTCTCTTTATCTAGATAGCGAGTGAGAGACCGGATTGTGGTCACCCACTTTGCTTTTGCAAGCTGAGAAACGGTTGATGCAAATTCAGTTTTGGTCTATATAATTTTATTTAACGATAAAAAAAAAAGAATCTCATAAGCATTATTTTTCAGACATCAAAACATGATTATGAACACATAAAGTTGTAATAAGAATTGCATTTCTGTCAATCGTAGGGATATTCACTAAAGTAATCTAACATCTCTCTCGAGCAAATTAAATCGTTGATTAATTTCTATCAATCTCATCTTGGTCTCAAGATGAACAATTAACTCCCTAGTTCCTAAGATTCTTGTTCCCTCGCAAGATTCTATCAACTTCTCGGTCTGTATAGTCTCCTACGTTATGAATTTCTCAATTCTAGCAATCAACTATCTCCTCTCGGTCTCAAGTCAATCACACATATGCGCATATATTCACACAATTAATATAAGCACAAGAAACTGATAAACGAAAGATTGACCAGAATGAATAATATTACTTCATAAAAATAATTTAATTACTCACGAATCCTAAAATTTCTAAAAGATTTAGCTACTAAATATATTGTTATTGTACAATTAGTCTACCTATTGTAACTCTTTCAACATGTATCGATACGTTTTAAAATATAATATTCTTAAAATAAATACAGTCCATGGCACGGGTTATCCGTAAAAAGAATAGGGCGGCATAGTAATGCGTACCAATTACTCCTACTTCTATATCAGCTCCATAAATCACCATTTTCATTTCTATCAAAATCCTCTACAAATCCTCTTTCATCTTTGATCTCGCACACCTGCGAAATACCCTTTATCAATCACCATGAAAGTCCCCACTTCTAAAGCTCAAGGTGTTTACTTTTTTCCTTCCGAGCTTTCTTTTTTCTCCATCCAATTTTTGCAATTATTTGTTCCATTATCTATGCTGAAGTATAATCTTAAGCATTGAAACAGAGAATATGCATCACGAGGCAAAAAGTTCGTATTTTGATTTTCCAGCGTGGATGTATCCGTGGCATTTCCTCAGGCAACTCCAGCTTCAATCTTTCCCCTTAGTGGTAATTTGATCTTCCTTAGTGAAAAGGTCTCATCTTTTTTCTTTTTGTTTAATTTTAGTCCCCCCCCCCTTAATTTCTAGAATTATTGTTTATTGTTTTCTAGCTAAGGTCTGCAAACCTTTGCATGTCCTGGGTTTTTGGGCATTTGGGGTGGGTGAAATGAATTCGGCGGCTGAAGCAATTGACGAATTAGGGTTTTTTCTCGTGCTTCCAGTCATTGTTAATTTTTAGAATGAATTTGAATTGCTTATTGGAACATTTGATGAAAAGGATGATGAAACTAATGTGATAAGGCTACGGAGAAACAAGAGTGAGTAATCTATTTGTGTTATGGAGTGGAAGTGCGATGAAAATAATTGATGCATTGTATAATAATGAAACTATTCTTAGATGTGATTGATGATTGAAAAATGAGACATTGTCTTGTGGGGTATGTTCTGATGAATTTTGTTGAAGTAATAGCATATTGGGACATATGATTGAGTTTTTATCCTTTTTCAAGTTTCATTTTTTTTTTTTGGGAAGGTTGCACCTGTTGGTGTTATATACTTAAGCTTTGCTTTAGTGGATATTACATTTGTTATTCCTTGATGAATGAGAATTATGTTTGGTTAA